TGGCCTTTTCAGGGAGTAAAGAGCCCCTCGGAGCCTGAAAGCCCCCAACAACCTTCCAGGGCCTCACTTCCTCTGGAGACAGCTGGGGATCACCAGAGGGACAGAGGACAAACTCACTCTTGGGCCCTGCACCTGATCCCCACGGAAAATGTGCTTTGGCTTTTCCCCTGAGGAGATCAGCTGAAAACAGTGACTTTTCCTGGGGGCCTGCAGATGCCCCGGGAGTAACTGAAAGCAGAACAGATTCGCCCTTCACATTCCCGGAAACCCTGGGTCAAGTCCCTCCAGCCCGGCTTGCTCCTCATTTCCGGGTCCAGAAGCTTTGGGTTCCAGGATGATTAGTCCTGCATTTACCTGACCTCTTCCATCTGCTTCAAGGGAGGACAAGGACATTCAACTGCCCAGGGCGCCCAGAGGTTGCCAGTCCTCACTCTAACTCTCTGGTCACCTTGGCTTTTGGCAGAGCTTCCAGGACCCTGACGCAGCTCAGAGGCGCTCATGTCAAGGAGACTGCCACTCAAGCCAGAGGGCGTCTCTCTCCAGGAGATGCCGGCCTGCACAGCCAGACTGAGATAACCACCCAGCGCCCGGCCAGCCTCAGCAAACCCATAAAATGCGGTCCCCTTGCTAGGGGTCGGTCTGAACCTCTCCATCAGAGCAGTCTCCCTTCAGCTCCCCCAACTCAAGTCCCTTCCTGTTGTCTCTTTCTTTCTAACTCTGTCTCCTCGATCAGCTTAGGGTTCTTACTGATGTATCCTGAAATGTTTTCCTGTAATGATAGGTGGTGTTTATCTGTAATCCCACCACTCTGGGAGGCTGAGACAGGAGGATCCCTTCAAATTCAAGGCCAGCCTGGGCTACACAGTGTGTTCAAGGCCAGCCTGAACTAAGTCCTGAGAGCCTGTCTCAAAAAAAAGGGAACCTGCCTGGCCAAGTGGAGGTCCCCATCTCCTTCCTAGGGGGACCACATCAGACACCACTGTTGTGACACTTGACACTCCTCACCACTCTTAGACACAGTCTCCAACCCCAGAGAGGCCCATTGGCAGGGAGACTCCTCCGTGCTGTTGGCCTCTGCGGGGTTGGGGCCCTCGATCCCCACAGGCCAGAGGCCTGGGCCAGGAGAGCGTGCCTGCTGGGGAGCCTCAGGTCACCTTGAGAGACGTGGGTGGAAACACATCCCAGGGCCTGCCAGGGGCAGCCTGGCTGTGTGCCTCGTGCCCGGGCCTGTTGGCTTCCGGGCCCGAAATCTTCAACCTGAAGCGGGGACAAAGAGCATGCAGAACGGATGGGCCCTGGGGTCAGACTGCCTGCGGGCAGATCCCACCACTTACTACATGTGTGCCCTTTTTTTTTTTGTTTTTTTTTTCCAGTACTGGGAATCGAACTCACGACCTTGAGCTTGCCAGGCAGGCGCTGTGCCACTGAGCTAAATCCCCAGCTACATGTGTGCCCCTGAGCAAGCTACCTCACCTCTCTGAGCCTCAGTTTTTGAATCTGCAAAAAGGGATAATAGTACTGGGGCTGATGTCAAAACGGACTAGGGTAATAAAGGTTCTCAGCACATGTTAGCGCCCCATCCCGTGGAGGGGCCCCTTCCCACAGGCTCAGGGAGGGGCAGCACTCGCCCAGAGTCACACTGAGGGCAGGCAGAGGGGCGGGGGCCCCGGTGATCGACTTTCCTGACTCTGAACTGGGCTGAGAGGGGAGGATCTTTATGGTCTCAGGCAAGGTAGGCTCCCGAGCTGGGGACCTGAGGGCACCACAGAGGACTGCGAAGCTTTGCACCTTCATCTGGGGTGAGAGGGGACCCAGGCACCGTGCAGCCAGCACTGCAGGTGGACGCCAGGCCACACATCCATCCCACCCAGCCTCACCTCCTGGCCCACACTGAATGCTTTTTTGTCTGAAAGGGGTCTGTCCGCAGGGGACCTGGCCCAGGGCAGCCCTCCAGAGAGCTGTGTGGTCTGAGAAAGTCCTTTCTGACCTGCATGGTGATGCTTGCCTGTCATCCCAACACTCAGGAGACTGAGGCAGGAGGATCTCCTTGAGAGGCCAGCCTGAGCTATAATACATAGTGAGTGCAAGGCCAGCCTGAACTGTGAAAGCCAAAAAACAAACAAGAAAAGTTCTCCCCTCCCCTCTCCTCTCCTCTCTTCTCCTCTCCTCTCTTCTCCTCTCCTCTCTTCTCCTCTCCTCTCCTCTCCTCTCTTCTCCTCTTTTCTCTTCTTTTCTCCTCTTTTCTCCTCTCCTCTCTTCTCTTTTCTCCTCTCCTCTCCTCTCCTCTCCTCTCCTCTCCTCTC